GTGTGTGTGTGTGTGTGTGTGTGTGTATGTGTGTGTGTGTGTGTGTGTGTGTGTGTTGTACAACCATTGAGGGAGGAGAGCGAGCCATGGTGTAATACGCAAGCAAATCATTCGCAAACACACACACACACACACACACACACACACACACACACAAAACACAACAACACAAAACACCACACACATAAAGCGTATCCCCGCCCCCCACAACACACCTCGACGCCGGCGCGGCCGATGCGATCGCTGGCGTCTGTGCAGAAGCGGCGGATGAGGTCCTCGGCCTCCTCGCTGATGATGACTTCATTCGGGAACACCAGCGTCCGCTGCCAGTTGATCACCTGCAGGCGGGCGGGCGTGGTGATGGTGGGGTATTGGGGTATTGGGATGGTGGGGTATTGGGGTGTTGGGGAGATGAGGGTGAGAAGAAGTAAAGGTCAACACAATTCACACACACACACACACACACACACACACACACACACACACACACACACACACACACACACACACACACACACACACACACATTCCCCTTCAGTGTGCTGCACCTTGCGGTATGTTTCCTGCGGGGAGTCTGAGCAGAAGGGCGGGTAGCCAATGAGCATCTCAAACATGATCACGCCGAGCGACCACCAGTCACACGTCCTGCGCACACGAGGTCCCGATGGACGGATACGGATGGACGAAAGGCATTAGTGAATGGGCGGCGTGCAGCAGATGGAGGCGACGAGAAATTGTGTGTGCGAATGCATCCACCTACCACCTACAGTCACGTCCACGACGCTTACACACCACCACTCCCCTTCACTCCCCACCACACCCCATCACAGCCTCCCTCCTTCCGCATACTGCCACCCCCTCCATGATCCATGCACGTACTCTGTGTATCCCTGCTGCGAGAACACCTCGGGCGCAATGTAGTCTGGCGTGCCCACCGTCGAATACGCCTGTGTATATGTGCATGTATGAATGTGCGTGTGTGTGTACGTATGTGTGTGTGTGTGTATGTGCGCGCGCATGTGTATGTATGTGTGTGTGCTTGATGGACATGACTCCTCGAGGCACCACCATCAACACCATCAACAACAAGCAATGCCACCATTCACCATCAACCACCATCAACCACCATCACCAGCGCCATCACGGTGACTCACGAGTGCGCGCCTGTTTGCCTTCCAGCTGCGCGCCTTTTCCTTCATCGACAGCGGCTTGCCAGACTTGACTGAAGGTGGCAGTGGTGGTGATTAAGATGAGTGATTGGTGGTGTTAGTGGAGGTGGTGTCAGTGACAGGTGGCTTGCAATACGTCGTAAACGCAGATACACATACACACACACACACACACATACACGCCACCCCTTATCCGGAGCCTTCCTCACCCTTCTCGTCCTTGAGATTCCTGTAGAATTCGGTTCTGTGTGCCTTCTTCAGACCCGTGCACAGCCCAAAGTCAGACAACTTCAGGTGCCCTGAAGGAGGAGCAGAGCGTGCGCACGCGTGTGTGTGATGTGTGTGATGTGCGAGTGAATAAGTGAGCGACAAAAACCAAGAGACGGTCGAGTCAACCCCCACATGCAAACGAACAAACACACACACACACACACACAACACACACAGACACACAGACACAGATACACAGACACAGACAGACACACACACACACACACACACACACATTCACACACCTCTCCTGTCGAGGAGCAGGTTGTCTGGTTTGATGTCGCGATGAATGAATCCGAGCTCGTGGATGGACGAAATCGCCAGCACGGCCTCCGCAATGTAGAATTGCGCTGGTGGTGGCAAGGATGACATGATGATGGTGGAGGTGGTGGTGGTGGAGGTGGTGAGGGGCGCACACACTTGCATGCAAGCAAGCGTAAGCGCAACGGAAACAAACACACACACACACACACACACACACACACACACACACACACACACACACACACACGCACACACACACACACACACACACACACGCACATACACACACGCACTTGTTTGCTCGGAGAAGGTGTCGAAACGGATGAGCATTGTCATCATATCACCGCCGGGGAGAAACTCCATAATCAGATACAGATTCACCCGATCCTGACACCGCGCCAAGGGGTGTGACCAAGAAGAAGAAAACAAGTCGATGTTTAACATGTGTGCGTGCGCGTGTGTGCGCGTGTGTGCTTGAAACAATGCGATACATTACACCACGACACAGCACAGCACACCAGAGGACATGTTGACAGCAAGACAAGCCCCCCTCCTCTCTCCATCACCACCACCTCTTCCCCCCCCCCCACACACACACACACTTCGCCCCACCTGGAACGAGTAGTACATGCGGACGACCCAGTCGCTGTATGCCTGCACCAGCACATCGCGCTCGGCACGCACGTGCGCAACCTGATCCTTCTCAAGCATGTCCGCCTGGTGGTGGCCGTCATGGTGGTTGGTGGTTATGGTGGTGAATGCATGCATGCATGCATGCATGAAAGAGTGAGCGAACTGACAGGTGATGGTCAAGGCTCACAGCCACACACACACAGAGATAGATATTGATAGACAAGCAGACAGACAGACAGACAGACAGACAGACAGACACACACACACACATACACAGATAGATTGACAGGCAGACACAGACACACACACAGATAAATAGACACACACACACAGATAAATAGACACACACAGACACACAGACACACACACGCACTCACCCCCCCTCCCCCCACACACCTTGTGGAGGATCTTCATTGCGTAGTTGACGCCCGTGTCCTTCTTCTGGCAGAGCTTGACCTCGCCGAAAGCGCCGCGGCCGATGGTCTTGATGAAGTTGAAGTCATCGCACGTGATGCGGGACCGCCGCAGACGAAGAAACTCCGTCTCCTTCGACCGGTACTCCTCATACAGCTTTTGCTTCTGCACACACGTATGTACGTGTTATTGTTGTGTGTGTGTGTGTGTGTGTTTGTTTGTTTGTGTTTGTGTTTGTGTGTGTTTTCGTTCACGTGAGCTTGCCAGTTCTGGTTCGCAGCAAAAACAAGCACAATCTTGTCCTCCCCTCCTCTTCCACCGCCACACCACTCCCATTATTCCATCCTTCGCTACATGCGCACCTCTTCCTCTGAGAGTGTCTGCTCGACGAGTCGGCTCCTCACGGCTTTGTATCTGCCAACGTGCACACGCAGCGCACAAGACCACATGAGCATGCGCCACAAGGAACCATGTCGCACACACGCACACACATGGCCATGGTACACGCTCCTTGCACACAAGCGTCACCCCACCCTCTTCATCGCGCGCACCTCGCTTCGCGCTCCTCGATGGTGGTGCCGAGCTGCTTGTAGTACTGCTCCAGCGCCTCCTTGGCCGTCGTGGACTAAGTGGAGCACACAGATGCGAGCGCGCGCGTGTGAGTGTGTGCGGTGGGATGGAAGGGGGGGGGG